TTTTTTTTTTTTGCTTGCTTTCTTTCTAATATTGTTATTTGTTTTTCCTTTAGCTACATGAGGGAGAGATTGCTGATCAGATGTGAAAAATCTTCTTACAAGTTCCCCACGTAAGTAATCAATTAAACTAACTTCAGCTCTTATGCCTTGCCCCAGCAAGTCAAAATATTTTTGTAGTCGAACTAAGCTGGTTTGATGTTAACCATACATATGGTCAAAGTACTTGGTACAAACATTTTTAATTCAAGTCCATGGTCACATGTGAATGATATTTTATTTCTTTCAGGAGCATTATGAAAAGAAATATCGTATCTTCTAATTTGCTGAGTTTTGATTCCTACTGCTATGTGTAAATGTTATAGTACCGCCACAATTTATAATTTGGTTTAGTTATTTTCTGAAGAAATTGGAGATTCTTGCAAAGTTGGTGGTACAACGTGGGCGTCACGGGAGGTGGAAAGAAACTTCAATGTATGTCATTAAATCAAGCTAACTATCCCTTTTGTTTTCTTTCAATTTCTAATAGCTTTTTTTTTTTAAACAAACTTTCAGGCCTTGGAAGCCAGAAGGGTGGAGAAGATAAGGAGTTCAAAAGGACTAGATTATTATGTACGTTCCATGAAATTACCATTCTTTCTGTTTTCTTCCATTAATATTAGATCTTGATATGCCTTCTGTATTTTGTTTTCAGAGCAGCGAGCCTAGAGAGCTGTATGAGCAACAGGTCTTATTTTTAGATTCCCTTGTTATCTGTTCCTTTTCCGGATTGCTCTCTCTCTCTCTCTGATTCGTTTTTCCTTCTGCGCTCTTTTAGTCTTTTATAGCCATTGATGTATCTCTTTTGTATTTAAATTCCTAGGCAAGGAAGGAGAGTTCTTATCAGGTTCCAAAATTCCTTTTACAAGACTCCGGTGTAAGTGCTTCGTTAACAACTGGTTCTCACATTCAAATTCCCCCGGACGTATGATGATTTCTACCTTCTTATAATAGATGCCAGTCATCATATCTCGATCTACTGAAATTCATGGGGATTGTTAATTATTTACACATATATCTGTCTTTTCGTTCGATCCATGGACCATACAGTCATGAAAAATTGAGCCTAAGACCGGTTGGTCTAGTTGCACTGAGAGGGTTTGCGGGGGATGAGGTCTAGGGGGTTGTGAGTTCGATCCCATGTTGTATAAAAACAAAAGTCACAGAAAATCAAATTATTTTGAAGAGTTTTGATGACCACTAGGACCTAAGGATGTCAAGACATAATTACATCAAACTGATGTTTTGTCTGTCTCTTAGGAACGTTCTATTTGCATCTTGGATGATCTTGTTCGTTCTAAGTCCTTTCCAGACATTTATGATCATGGCAATTTTGTTGGGGCAAACTGCTGTATATCGCCTATGATATTACAATTAGTGAGGTAAGTTATTGAGAAGTAATTTTAATGTGATTAAAGCATGACCATTACAGTAATCAATTTTATCTTATCGTCAATAAATTTAACTTGGATGGATCTTAGCATCTATCTTGATGGAGTATCTAATTTCTATCCATAACTTTAGTAGATTTTATGGTGGCTGCCGGATAAACTATATTTCTCACTTCACTTTAAGTCATTATAACATGATTCAACGGCTACTTTTCAATCCCTGCAATGCATTTTCTTTAGGCGATTATGGGCTAGATTGCTACATGACGTTGAAGTTAGCGGGATGCAAAAACATTCTTATTCAGCTTTTTAGTTTTCTATTTATCTAATATGCTTTTGATTTCATTCAATTGGTGTTGGTTGGAATGGTTAGGACTTTGGTTTGTTTCCTTAAGGTCTGGGCTTCGAACCACCTAATTGGCACTTACGTGAGAAAGCCATAATTTCCTGTCTTCTAAAGATTGCAGAGTTTGGTGGAAGGCTTATAAATATTTCACACTCGAGCTCACAAAGTAGTTCGGGGATTTTTGGATATTAAAAAAAGGCCCGTGATTTAAGTTTTTTTTTTTCTTCTTGACCATCTACTTTGTAATTGCTGTAGGGATGTGATTTCTGAAGTTGTGATATTACATAGATGGGGAATAGTTCATGGGGACATTAATCCTGATAACATATTTATCCTCAAAGGGCAACGTTTGTTTGCCAAACTTGTTGATGTTGGTAAGTGTTTTTCTTGTTAATTAGCATGTTGCTGCGCAAATTCAGAAGCTATTTCTTCTTTAACTTAAATTCTTTTGTAAATCCCTATACTATCCATAAACATCAAAGTCTCACCATCAGGATTGAAAATTAAAATCTATAAGAACTTTGAGGCATATATACCTTTGTGTGTGTTCACAATATTATGCCTGAGCAGTCACGATTAGAAGAAACTTGATGAACGGTTGGGTACATATCCATCCGAAGCTTCTATTTCTGTTAGTTTCTGGAAGATTCTTACTATGAGTCTGTCACTTGGTCCCTTGGAGATCAATTCATGTGAATCAACCAAAGAATTTTTACTCTAATTCTTTTTAATATTGCATGCAAATGTTCTCGCCTTCTCAGCATTGTTTATGATAATTGTTATGTATGTTCGTTTTCAGTGACGTAGAAGCAATTCACGTCTTGAACCATCCACTGTTTTGGAATCCCAAAAAAGGGTTTCATTTCTCTCTTGGGTTTTTTTTTTTTTTTTTTGAGAAATTACAATTTGAAACGGAATATTATGGTCATCGTTGGGACGACAAGTTATTACCCTACATTATGAACGAAACATGTAAACTAAAGATTGGCTCTGTTAGACTTTCTTATACAAGCTTCCAAGGGCTTCAAAATTCATTGCAATATCTAAGACACATGAAAGTTTATTACGAGTCACTTCCATATTGTTGGAGTTTGCCTCCAGAGGATTTCGAGGGTTTTTTTTTTTTTTTTTCTCCCCTCTTTTTCTATGTTCTTCTTTTGCTCATCTTTTAATTGCTGCTTGTAACGGTCACAGGTCGAGTTTTTGAATTTATGTCGACTTCTTAAATCATCTCTCTCTCTCTCTCTCTCTCTCTCTCTCTCTCTATATATATATATATATATATATAGATGCTTTTGTTTTTAATACAAGGCTGAGGAAGATTTACTTATAATTTTGGCAGCCATTTTATGATATACTGAAGACCGGAAATATAGGATCGTGGATGACCACTGTGCAAGGAACTATCCATGGCTCCTTATCTACTCATATGCGGTTGCACGTCGGTCCGGTTTGTGCACGGGGAGATTCTCTGGGTTCTTTCCGCGCTCGTGGAAATATGTGTTGTAGTCCCATATTTGTTATCATAAATCCAGATTATTGTAAATGTGGGAACCTACAGTCAAATTAGAGAATGAACCTAGTTAAGGTTTTGTTTGGAACTTAACATTATGATGGAAAATAAAAAATATGAAAAAAAAAAAGAGGAAGGAATATTTTTTTCTATATATAATTTTTTCCCTTGTGTTTGTTGGGTGCATTTACAGTGAGAATGTCCTTTTGCTCCACCATAAGAGGCATTGGTGTTTTAGTCATTAGATTAATTTTTTAACGGTTTGATCTGGAATATAAACAGTTTTGTGCCGCGCGCTATTAATTTTTAATGCGGACATGCATAGATTTAACCGTTAAAAAACCTAATCTAATGATTAAAAACAACAATTCTTATGGTGGAGTAAAAATACATCTTCTACCATAAAGACTACTGTTTTTAGACATCTCCAATGCAAATGCTAATGTCCATTGTATATTTAGCATCAAAAAGTATGATATGGTATGTTATTTTTATTTTTGCTCCAATGCATAATGTTATTTGAAAGGTTAAGCTTTAAAAGTTGTAAAAGTAAACTTTTATTTTTAAAATAACTAGAAAATGTAAAAATTGCATTGATATACAGGAAAAAAGTAAACATTTCAACCAATAGTAACTAAATGCCAAATTTTTCATATGTTATGCTTGGTGGAAAATTTGCTACAAAGTATAACATATGAGAAATTTGACATAACAAATAGCATTGCATGGAGAGTTTTTTTTGCACTCAAATGTTAAATTTACAATTCGCTTAGTGTTTTTTACATTGGAGATGCTCTTACACAAAACTAAAGTCCTACTTTATGGAACGACATGAACTTTCCGATAGTCATTATTCGCCTTATGTTAAGATAAGACTTTCATTTCAGACTCTCAGTTCTTCACTTTTCAACCAGGTCAAGTCTGCTTCTTGTAAATAACAGAACGCTAAGAACTCTAGAAGATAATAAATAGGATTCTGTAAGACATCGTTGCGAAAAGTCGAAGTTCAACGTCAATGAAAGACCTTCTCCACTTGCGTAGGAAAGGAATACGTGATAATAATAATAGAAAAAAAAAAAAGGCTTAATGCTAAGGCTGGCCCTTTTGTGGATGGCGTTTAGATTTGTATGAGCAAACCAACCATATTTAGCCGCATCCAACTAACCAGGAAGCTCAGCACTTGTAGAGAAAGGCAAGGAGTAAATGTCATCACTTAATGCATCTGACAAAGAAACAACGACTTCAAATTTTTTTATCGTATAATACATAACACTGATACATAAATATTGCAAATATTGATATATTTTGATTTGAATTTTTGTGTGGCTTAAAAAATAATTTGAGTACGGTTGTCTAATTATAGTTTCAGGCATGATTCCCGCTTGCCAACTGTGAATTATTTAATTGCTAGGAAGAGGCTATATTATCTTTATTGTAGGGCCAAAACATGTTTTTCAACACTTAATTTGGGACTACCATATCTCAACTAACACACATGCAAGCTTAAGCCCGGTCATAGTCATAAGATGTTGCTATCAAATCCTATTGCAGTTAAGAAGAGAAGGGGAAAAAAAAAAGTAAAACCCTGTATGACTTTGTTACATTTAATGCATCTATAAATAGTTGTCTCTTGAAAGATGGAGAGAAAAGAGAGAGAATGAGTAAAAACAAAAGAATGGCGAGTTCTTCATTTCTTCTTTTGGTGACTGTGGTAATGGGGATTTCTGTTAGAATACATAAAGCTCAACTAGCTTATGACTACTATAAGTTTTCTTGTCCATTAGCGGAATCGATAGTGAAGACGGAGATACTAAAAACTTACTTGACTGATGTTTCTGCGGCGCCGGCATTTGTCAGGCTCCTCTTCCATGACTGCCAAGTTCAGGTAAATGAAAGTTAAAAACTTTTTTCACATCTTCTTTTACTAATCATTAATGAGAGTAAAAGGAGAGTTTTAACTTTTCCAATCTCGAATACTCATTGAATGTTGGTGAGTCAAATCACTCATGACAAAACTCCTACTCTTATATTGTACCGCATCTCTACTTGGCTTACGTAGTGTGTAACTTCTCTTGTGCTTTGTGGTTTGGCACATTTTTTTGCTATGTTCCTACTTGTATTCATGCTCGTACTTGTATTCGAAGTGGCAATGGTGAAGTATTTACAATCAGACTGTTGGAGACAAAAAACCGAAACCGCTGTCGACCTCTAATGAAACCGCCAAATCTGATTCCAACTCTTTAATTTGCAGTGTGCTTTTCCTTTTCTTTTCTTTTCTTTTTTCATTTGTAGTTTTGTTACAATACAGGCATGTGATGCATCTATCCTGCTGTACTCCCATGAGTCGACATGCAAATCGGAGATGGAATCGTCGAGAAACTTCGGTGTCAAAAGGCTGGAAGTGATCAACCATATAAAGTCTATTCTGGAGATCACGTGTCCTGGCCAGGTTTCTTGTGCTGATATAATTGCTTTAGCTGCTAAAGAATCGGTGTTCATAACAGGAGGACCTAAAATCAAGATCCCTTTCGGAAGAAAAGACTCGGTCACTTGTAGTTCTTCCCAACTGGCCGATACCAAGCTTCCCGCAGCAGGAATAGCAGTCGATGAATTGCTTCGGATTTCCAAATCCTTCGGGATGAACCTCGAGGAATCGGTTGCCATCATAGGTAATGATCATAATGGATTGTAAGTAGTAACGTAGCTATGGTTAGAAGAAAGCTACAAATGAGAGGCGTAGACTTTTTTTTTTTTTTTTTTTTTGGGTTGAAATTGTCTAATGCAAAGTCTGAGTCTGACTAGGAATGACAACCGGTCGGGGACAGGGCAGGTATGCCCCCACTCCTCATAATCCGCCCCCATACCCACTTAAGCCCTGGAGGATTCTGGGGGAATCCCCACCGGATCGACTATCCTCATATCTTACTTTTTTTTTCTTGAAGGTCATACTCTACGCATTTACATATGAAGAGTTTGAAAAATTATTGCAATACTATCAAAAGCGAGAGAAAATTTCATCAAATTAATTAGAAAATTTCTGATGAAAATAACTTAAAAAATTTTAAATCAAATCTAAACCTTAACAATAACAAACAAAAGTGTCGGCACTAAATCCTAGCTACGAAACTAAATTACTAAAATTCATTCCAAAACTAATAAAGGAACCAAAAAATTAAAATACTAATCACTCTTCTCCTATGTTTATTTCCTTCATGCCATATAAAAGTATGTACAAATAAATTAGAGACTAATTCTTGTCCCTATACCTTACCCCACCCGCCCACACATAATTCCCATAGCTGCCCCATACCCGGCCTATTAGGGCGGGTACCGGCATTAGTGGTTAGGGTTGATTCAAGCAAGCTTTTGTAAGAAGCACCAAGGAAAGCCTTACAGGAGTAACTTTCTCACGTGTTTTTTTGTCATCTTTCTCCGCGGACAATTAAGGCAAGTCGAGCTTTATGAGGTGTGGCCATGTACACATTGGCATTAAACTGAGGGGCGATGATGAAAACATGGCGGCCCTAAATGTCATCTTCATACTTGAGCCGACAAGGAAGGGGAAAAAAAGTATTTATCAAGTTTTGTTAAATTTGTCTCTTTCCTTGGTCGCACAGAGATGCAGTTATTGTGACTGTTGGAATTTACTTCTATTTAGATTAGGGCCGACACGAATCAATTTTAGGTTAGACTCGCTTAATCTGGACACGACACGAAACTCGTAAAAAACTAAAAAATACATATATTTTTCATTACATATTTTTTATTTTATTATGAACTTGTGATATCATGATAGTTATACTCAAAATCTTATACTATTATTTGCTTAATTTCAATTGATGTTATTGTATTTTAGTGTGTTATGAATTTTAAGTTATTTCTAATATGTAAAAAACTTAAAAGCATACAATTTTCATGTTAATTTAAAGTTCACGGGTCAATTTCATGTCACGGGTCAATTTCGTATTATGGGTCATTTTCGTGTCGTGTCAACCTGTAAAGTGGTCGTGTCGTGTTCATGTTGCAATTTTTAAAAAATTTCGTGTCACGAGTCATGTTTGGATTGACTATTAATTTAAAAATAAACTATCAAAACACGACACGTGACACGAATTGCCACATCTAATTTAAGTGTTATTGACGTGCTGGGGAATTGTTATTTGCAGGTGCACATACACTTGGTATTGGACACTGCATAAACATAGTAGACAGATTGTACAACGAAAAGCTCAGTAACCAGATGAATTGGAGCTTTAAAGCACTACTAAGACTGACATGCCCAACAAAAGTTCCTCTAACAAATCTCACTTTTGTGCCTAATGACTCAACTTCATTGGCATTTGATAACCAGTACTATAAAGATATCTTAATGGGTAAGGGCTCGTTCGGTATAGACGCGAGCATTTCAAGAGACCCTCGCACTAAGCCCGTTGTTAGACGGTTCGCTGCAGACCAAAGCTACTTCTTCCATGTTTTCTCTTCTGCCTTCGTCAAGCTTTCCTCTACAAGAGTTCTTACTGATAAGGAAGGTGAGGTGAGGAGGCAATGCTATCGCATAAACTAAGAAAATAGGGGAATATAGATGTTAAGTAGGCATTTTTCTGTGTAACTGAATACTTATTTACTCTGAATTTTTCTCTTTCAAAAAAAAAAAAAACCAACCTCAAGCGTGAACAAAACAAGGAGTGGAGCATAATTCTATTGAACTTTCAATTATGTATAGAATATACTAATGTGACGGGCCACATACAATCAAGAAGCATAAACACCTATCTCAGAAGATCTCAAGATGGTTTCAAATTTAATGACGTTATTCAACTACCTATTATCTATCCCGATCTTCCGATTCATCTTTTGAAAACATCAGTCGATGAGCCACAGCAACGCTAGCTTGAGTATCAAAATCTGTTGCGTGGATGGTAAAAGATATCTTGCTGCCTATGAAGGACTCCCATTTGTAGCCAATAGTATCATTTCAACTGGGTTAGTTGAAGGTTAGTAAGCTCCAACAAAATGAGCAAATGATCATGGACGGGGTTCTAACAATGCAGAAGCATCGAAGTCACCAACCACTCCCTCGCTCAAAAGGCGCATGGCAGCACCCTGAGAAAATTTCCTCGCGAAAAGAAAACAGGGAACAGATGTAGAATTTGTCTTGCACCATTCTGTCCTGTATTCAGTCTCATAGTATACATGGTTGATGTTCTGCAGAAAAATACACAAGTAAAATAAGAAAACAAAGTGAGACGAGATAGGACAGAAAAATAATTGTAGATTGTATCTAGAATTATTTAAAAATAATAATAATAAATAGCCCACAAAAAAACAAATAGCTCTTGTAAAAAAATAAAAGCCATTAATGCTAAGCTAAAAGGTGAGACTGATATTGAATGTTTAAAGATTTAGGCTACATCACATCCCCCCGAACCCCCTGGTTACACCCCGCCCCATATATTGTTCTATTGTTTTTCCCTCGTTCGTGCTTCAAACCCGTGAATCACTTCACTTGTCACTGGAATCTTGTTCATTTCTCTAAATTACATAAGTGATCAGAGAAACTTCAAGACATACCCTAGTTCCTGCTTAATGGCCGGCAACCCTGTATCTGGAATCGTTAGGCACATCCCCCCGAACCCCCTGACATGTTTCTTTCCATCATTCGTGGTCCACGCCGTGAACCACTCACTTAAGATTTTAATCCAACCATACCTTACCGGAGGTGAGATAGAGGGAGAGGAAGCCCTCGTAGCATTGCAAACAAGAATCTACAGGAGCCCGTAGGGCGGGGCTTTACGTTACCCTCCTCCTATGAAATTCCACTCTATGCTCTAGTACGTAGGGAACAAGGTACTAACAGTACTGTTTTTTTTTCCAGGTTTTGGATGTTAAATAAATACATCTCAATCGACAAAAAAGAGAGAATCTCTTTGCATTAATTAGCTGATGAGACTTTTTCTCTCAATCTAACTCGTACTTTCACCTGTGTTACATGTTTCATTAAGCATAAGTACAAAATAAAGTTGCCTCTTTTACCGTACCCTATAAGCAATATCTAGCAAATAAATGTTTAAAGGTTTAAGATCCGTTGTAACCAAGTAGAAGAACAAAGGCGATAAAATAACCTTAATTTCCTTGATCTTTTGAGGGCCTGCATTTGCATAGCTAAATGTAACAGGATGCCATCCTCTATTCTCCATCTTATTTGCAGACTGGTTCCAGAGAGTATAGGTCAACGTTCTTCGTTCAAGCTCGCTTTCAAGCTCGCTCATCTAACAAGAAAGAAAACAACAGAACAAGAAAAATTAAGTATTGAAATCAGAAAATCTTGAACTACCAACACAAAATGGGTCAAGAAAATTCACAGAAGAACGAGATAGAAACATGAGTAGGCCTGAAATGGGACTCATAACACGCTTTGACAAGACCAAAAAGAGAATCTGGCTTACCACAAGCAATGTCTGCACATAGTGTTCATCTGGGATACAGTTGTGCTGCTTCTGAAGTTTCTGCAAAAGTAATTAAGCCATTATTCAACTCTCTTTAATCATTCATTTAAAAGGAAAATATATTCGCATTAGCTTAATTTAGTTTGTTTTTACAAATATAATCTTCTTAAAAAGTTGCAAATGAAGTAAAAGAAATGTTTTGAGCATAGCTCAGAATCAAGTACACATACATGGGTGTCAATTAGATGACAATGACAAAATACTATATCAGCATTGGTTGCCTAGTAATTTGGAGGAACAAACGACTTACAGAGTTAACTATAAGCAAATAGTTAAAAGGAAACTTCAATTTTAATTTCTCAATTTAACCGGGTGAATTAACACTTACAGTATTCAGCTTTCCCTTTCTGGTGTCTACAGGAGGACGTCGCTGCAAAGTGAGACCAATTCTGTTAGGCGTGACAAAAGCTGCACTATTACAAGAAATTTGGTACAAATGTTGATTGTTTATCTTTTCTCCAGAAAGCATGTTCCTGATGAAGACATTTGAAATGTGTTCCCTTGCATTCTTTTGCCTTTAGTTTTGATAGGAAACTTTTGAGTTCTTGAACTAACTCAAACTAGCTAGAATTTGAATTCAAAGAACGACATTTTGTTACAGATAATTAGTAAGCCAAAAGCAACACACAGGGCAAGGCATATAGATATAAGTACACTTTCTCAAGAAAGAATACAGATATGCATGCATGTCTGTGTGTTTTTGTGCGTAAAGCCGTAAACTAGCTTTAATTTTCTTTCTTGTAGGCTGAAAATCTAACTTCTATTTGATGACAGTCAAAAGAAAACAATTAAGATTTGAAGCATCATCCAACAAGAATGATTGTAAAATGAGAAACACAAAGAAAGATAAATTATTATTGATGCGGTAAAGAAAAACAATGCTTGATACATACCACACAAAATTTGTGAAAGACTGGAAAGACAACCTCGTCATCTACTATGACCTCCACATGTCTTCTTATCAAGGTGATCCACTGAAATGCCCAAAGAGAAAAGGCAAGAACATAGATGATAGATCAGGACATTACCCACCCAAAAAAAAAAAAATGGTATTTAAAATCCAACAACTTGATTAAAATTTTAAAAGTGATGTACTTGTGATCCTTTTCGCCATTTGTTCATTGGTATTTTTGGTGACATTTTTCGATTGTAGCGTCCCTCCTTCGCATCAAGAAAGCTACAACAAGAACAAATGTCTTAAATAACTTGTAATTTCGTCATTTTACAAGCAAGAGAAGGCCTAAATCTTTTTTTTTTTTTCAAAAAAAAAAATGGTGATAATACTCAATTGATAGTCAACAATCTAAAAAGCAACAGTACCCTTTAACTCAAGAATCAAAGAACCCAATTTATCTACCTGTCCACAAAACTCCTTGGGGAAGCCATCAGATAGTTATATATATAGCTAAAGTTGTACAGAGGAACACAGCTGCACATAGAAAATAGCAAGCTTTAGGCATAAAGGAAACACAAAATCACTGTGATTGCAGGTTTAGCCTAGTAGAAATTCCACTCACATCAAATATGAGGTGATCAAATTCCCTAACCCCAAGTTCGTGCACACACAATCACTGACCTATAGACTATAATGTGAGCTACTTTCTACACGTTAAGATTTTGCTAGCAAGACTTTACATATCACGCTAAGGAAACCTAAAATCATCAAGCTAACTAAGTTTTGCTTTTTAATTAAAAAGATTAAAGATTTTTCATTAAATAGAGTTAGATGTTAGTAATGTTTAAGTCACAGGCAACATTTTTAAGCTTTGGAACAAAGCTCGGATTCAGTGAAACCAGAGAGTTGCCAAAAACTAACCTATCAGATAGAAGAACGAATCTCTGATTTGCCGGATCCTCAAGAGCCGCTTCAAGAAGCAACCTTTCTGCTTGGATCATAGTGGACTCTCCCCAACCTACCTGCAATTCATGAACACCCAAAAAAAAAAAGATATCAAAACTGTACTTTAATTGTCTCTTTTTTTTTTCCTAAGTAACAAGAACAGAAAATATACTTAAAAAAATGAAAACTTTATACTTGAAACATGAAAATCTGCACTCTACTCAACCTAGCGCGAACTGACAGCAGTAAACAGCAGACAGCGAGCTTAAACTGTATACGATTTTCTCGGCAAGCAAACAGAAAAGCGAAACTGTACTTTAATTGTTTCTTTTTTTTTTTCCTAAGTAACAAGAACAGAAAATATACTTAAAAAAATGAAAACTTTAGACTTGAAACATGAAAATCTGCACTCTACTCAACCTAGCGCGAACTGACAGCAGTAAACAGCAGACAGCGAGCTTAAACTGCATACGATTTTCTCGGCAAGCAAACAGAAAAGCGAAACTGATTAATCACCTGAATGCTATTCCGCAATTGGCGGCCGTGGAAGAAATGCGACCTCGTCGTGGACTCATCGAACGCCAATCCCGGCGCCGAGTGAACATAAATCGAAAAGTTGGCCGCATCAGCGTTCTGCAAACAGAAGCAAACAAGAAGACTCAGAAACAGAATCAATTTCCCGAGAAAGTAGAGAGAGAGAGAGAGAGAGAAGGAAGGACGAAAACCTCAAAGAAACTCTCCCAGAAAAAATCGAGCGGGAGATTGCGGCGCGCGAGGAAGAGGAAGGCGATCTTGGGGGGCCCGGCGAAGACGTTATCGCGATAAAGACGAGATCTCGCGCTAGAAATTGAAGAAGAAGGAGAATATGGGAAGCCGGGCTGCGAGTGGAGGCGGAAGAGAGCGAGGAGGCAGAGGAAGACGGAGAGGATGACCACCAGCTTCCAGCTCAGCCATAGTACGTGGCGCGTGGCTACTGGCGGGGATTTCTTGGTCATGCTTCTTCCTGAAACCATTTTTTTTATAAAAAATTATATCACAATTAAGAAGAACCAAAAAAAAAAAAAAAAAGATTAAAAAGATAAACAGAGAATGGGGAAGAAAATACATTGAAGGGAATTATGATTACAGAGGGGCATTTAGAAGAAAACGATTGGAGGAGATTTCTGTATGTATCTCTTGGAATCTGTTTTTCTTATTTCAAAGCTTTGGCCTTTGAGTGGGAGAGATGTGGAATGATATGATAAGACAAGCAATGAAATGAAATGAAAATGAAACAACGAACTGAGAAGAGTTGAACCAGAAGAAACGTCATCGTTTCGGATTGCGTACGCTCTTGGGGAGCTGGAGAAGTCTTTTTCACGGTTCACATGGCGGAAAGCGCGTGAGGTGTCCGATACTAGATCTTTCCTTTCCTTCTCTTGAAAGTACACCTGTTAGAATTTCATTACACTACCGCCCGTTAAAATCGAAAAAAAAAATCCATTTTTTTAATTGTTTGTTTATTCTGTTCTTAATTTTTGTTTAATTATAAAATTTAAGTGGAGACTTGGAGAAGACAGGACCACATGGGAGTGATAAAGGTTTTCGCTAATCCCATTGGCCACTGCCAAAAGTCTAATCCAGGGCATTCGTATCGGTTAAAGAATACACGACCGTATTTAAAATTGATCTCATTTTTATTTTTTATATTTTTAAAAAAAATAAAAATAAAAGTGTTTTTAAAACGGCATTTGATTTAATAAAGACAAAAAATGTAAATAAAAATGATTTTTTAATTTAGTATAAAATGAGAGAGAAATGAAAAACGACTTTTAGTCGTTTTTCATTTTTTATTTTCATGTTCTCCTCTCTCAAGCAGAGAGAAAAATATAGACATTGATGAGTTTTTTTATACTGAAAATAATCTCTTGATAAAATTACCAAACGCATTTTTAAAAATGATTTATGTCTAAGATTGAAAACGTTTTCATTTTCATTTTCATACAAAAAATAAATTCATTTTAGAACGAATTCCAAACGCGCCCCACCACTCGCAACTTTCTTTTTATTATTATTTTCTTAGCATTTCTAATAGCATCAGAAAAAATTAATAACTAATAATTTTTTATTAACTGTTAATTTATATTAAAAATTATCTGTTTTACATACTTTTTTAACTTAATGAGATTTTAACATTATCTACTGGTAAGAATGGTCTACTAAAAAAACTCCATTTTTCTTTTTAAAAAAATCACTTCATTCGTAATTTAATATTGAAAAGTTTGCAAACATGCTTTTACTTCCAACTAATTCAAGACGCTTAAAGGAATCCAACTTACATATTCGCAAGTTATCCTATTCTCAATATCAGTGCTAAAGAATTTTACTTATTGTACTAACTCGTTTGGTTGGAAAATTCGTTTCCTAATTAAATCATGATTCATAGTTCTTTATAGTATTTTCTCTTATAAAAAACACACATAAATAAAAAATGATTCTAATCTATAAATCAAACGAGAGGTTCCATTCTCCTTTTTATTGCCCGAGGGAAATGGAGTACAATTTCCTTTTTTTTGCAAAGAGTTGATTTGTAGCGAAGAATCAAACATTGGCAAAACCTTTTCGAAAAATTTCACGTAGAAAATAGTTACTCCATACGTTTGCAAATGTAACATTACGTTGCTCCCTACGTTTTTTTTCCCCCCCCCCCTTATTTATGTTTGAATATTTATATTCTCCCTAGAAACCTTCTTTTCCCCCGCACTGCTATTAAAATATAAAATCTTTTTTTCTTTGAATAAAATATAAATTCATGCCCTTACAAATAAATTTATATTAAATTAGAAATCAGGACCAGGAGGCCGGAAGAGTCAAAGTCAATTTAATAAGTAGTTCACCAATCATAGAAGATACGGAATTAAGAGGTCCACCGCGTACGAGGAAGATCTTTTGAAACCGTCATCAACCGGCAAATTTGAAGAACTTGTTACTCCCTATATTTTACGGGAGGATCGAAGAAAACGAACTACCGATAATTATTTATTTTTTAACTGTTCAATGTATATTAAAAATTATTTTTTTACACACTTTTTTAATTTAATATAATTTTAATTAGATTCAACAGTTAAAAACTGATCTTATCAGTAAACCGGTCTCGAGAAAGTCCTTATCAATATAAATATAAGAAGTCAAAACCTAAAACTTAATCGCCGACCACCTATTGACCTCCCCAATCCCAATCGTACTACTAACCTCTCTTTTTCTTTCTCTTTTTTTTTTTTTAGGTGAATCTAGCTTAGGTTTTAAATTGAATGCACCAATCAATCATCATAATCATAAAGCTTTAAAAGCAAATAAATACACCTATTATCTATAGGGCATTTTTCAAAAGAATAATATATGTGCCCTGCAAAATTTTTGTAACATGCCATTAAACACATTGAATGAAACCACACTTTTCTTCCAGAGCAATTCTTTATAGGACCTCTTTCCTGAATCCTACCTCTTTGGAGCGGCTGTAACGATCAATACAGCCGAGAAAGCTTCTTTTCTTAACCATGGATCAACCAAGAGACTCTCAATCTGGCGAGAGTTTGTTCTTGCCACTTTTCAGTGTCACCCCTATATTTCTAAAGTGCCTTCTTTCGCAAAAAAGAGTGAACCTATACAAGTGATGAAGATCGAGAACTAACGGCTAACACCCACCTTGGTGTTTTCGCGGTCCAGAATAACATTCAAGATCTTGCCGGGGACAAAAATTATCTTCTTGATTGATCTGCCACTCAAATACTTGGATAGTTTTTCGTCCTGTGATGCCAACTGAAAAGCATCCTCCTCTGTGCATGTCTCTTCTACCTGGACGGTACCCCTTGTCTTGCCATTAATCTGAACTGGCAAGACAATGGTGGATTCTTTCGAGTAAGCCGGATCAGCCTGCAATTAAATTTCAACAGTTACCACCTTAGACAAAGTCTGTTTTTCAGCAATTTTATTCATTACATGTCAATTTCTAACTGGGTAGAAAAACTGTGATGATCAGCGATTAGTATTTCTCGTTTTCTGCATAGCAAAATGTTTTGGTCGTTTAGAATATGGAATGACAACATTTTTGTCATAAATTGACCCAAAAAAAAAATCTGAGACAATGAAAATTATCCAGTCACATAATAAGTAGTCGTGTGAAGAAAAGTGGATACAAAACCTTGGGAAAAGGCTCATAAGCCAATGACTCTGTGTGTCCCAGACGAAACCAAAGCTCTTCGGCCATGTGAGGCGCATATGGCGAAAGCAACAGAACAAATGCTTTGATAATAGATCTTGGATGTTTATCCCACTATCAATATTCATATCACAATTAATAAGATCATCAAACGGCATAATCATCATACTGAAACCAAATTGGAAACAAGCAAGAAGAATGATTGCTTGCCACAAAAGAAACAACAATCATGATCTATCAAGTACACACTGTTCCAAATGATTTAACGAACCTTATAAGCCACATTAATAAATTCCATCATTGCTGAAATCCCAGTGTTGAATCGAGTTCCTTCAATTTCCTCTGTTACCTGAAAATTAGGAACAGTTCATTGGTTAAAACACTTTGCAGTTGGCTATTAGTGGAGACATGCATTGTTTTATCACAAGTCTAATGATTTCTCGGCTGTGTTTTTATTTTCTTCAAACCACAGCCTATTACAAAAATGCATCAGCTGAAGTTTTTGAAGAAATAGAAAGCATATTGTACACCAGTAATCTTAAATGGAAAGTATATGTTGTGTTTACATTCTTCGAATTGCAGGTTACTAAAACACAAGTGAAAAAGCTATACAATAACATGCATGCACATTGCATTCCAACAACTCAGACTAGAGAAAAAAGGAAGGAAAAGAAAAACAGATCAATAAATGTGACCAAAACACAGGACAGAACTCCATATCACCTTTGCAATGCATTTATGGAGAGAACGAAGTTGTTCCAGTGTAGGTTTCTCATCAACCACCACTGTTCCATCCTGGAATGTACCATCAGGTAAAGGTGAACCAACAATCAGCCTCCAAGTTCTTCCCAGAAAACGATGAACACCTTCAATGCCGCTAGTATTCCATGTTTTCGAGTCTCTAGAAGTGGAATGTAGTAAAACATCAAAGAAGAAAACAGCATTTGTTGGTTGTTCATGCCAAAAGAGATACTGAGTGATCATAAAATTGAGGCACAAGCAAAATAATTAAAGAAAATTGAAACAAAAGCCCACCTAAGTGGACCCATGAACATTTCATATAATCGAAGTGAGTCTGCGCCATATTCAGAAACAACATCATCAGGATTAACAACATTTCCCCTACTCTTGCTCATTTTATGGGCACGGGCAATCAAACGAATTTCTGGATTGTCTTTCAGGACAAAAGAATCTCCAGATTTCATGACCTGAAGAAGGAAAATCATAAATCTGTTAAAAAAATGAAAAATAAAACATCGGAAACTTATTAGTCTCTTCTCTTCTCTATCATCAACTTATCATAGGCGAAGTAAATGTTTGAGTCATCCAAGAAACTACCTCTTCCTCTGGGATCTTTTCTTGATTATATTCACCCATTGTTTCAGCGGATTCTGCAGAGATAAGATTCCCATCCGGATCCCTGCAAGCCATGTATTGAACCTGCAATTTTGAAGGATTAGGGACACATGATCAAGAATTACTGAACAGTGAATATCAAGAAACAAAAACTTTTTTTTTTTTTTTGATAAGTAGAGAAACAACTTAAACTTACTTCCCCAAGAATAATTCCCTGGTTTATCACGCACTTGAAAGGTTCTTTGGTAGATACAATGCCAATATCATAGAGAACCTGAAATGTGGAAGCTCAATCAACAAGTATGTTTATGGAATTACGACAAAACAAGTCTGAATTATAAATTCGTCATACATGATCTTTTCTATAGCAAAAGTAGGTTCCGCCAGAAGCATTATCGACAACAGATATTAGTTTGGACTATCAACTGCATTTCTCTGTTGGTAGTAGGTCAAAATAATAAGACCCTAGCTATCTTCATATTTTGGATTTACGACAAAAATTTGGTTAACAGACCTTGTGCCAAAACCTAGAATAAAGCAGATGGAGAACTGCGTGTTCAGCACCACCAACATACACATCAACAGGACTCCAGTATCTGCAAAATGAAGAAGAGCTTAGAAAGTCCAGGAAAAGAATTATAATTCATAATATTATATATTTAAAAGAGGTAATAAAAGTAACCATTATGCATTAAAACAAGATAAATTACATGGGAAATGAATGCTTACTTTTCTTTTGACTTTGCAACCAATTCTTTCGAATTTCTCGGGTCCATAAATCTCAAATAGTACCTAGACATGAGTATAAAAGTACCTAAGTTTAATATCTCACGTGAATTTCCAGCATTTTACATTCATAATCCATCCTTGAAAGGAACAAAGATTTGCAGAGAAATCAAATTTTATTGACATCAAGTTTCATTCAATATTCATTAGAGTTGAGGGCTTACAAAGAAAGGCTAACTATTCATGGCTAGACATTACCAGCAAGAACCAGCCCATTGTGGCATTGTGCTTGTTTCTCGTCTAGCAGGTTTTCCAGATACAGGATCTTTTGTTTTAACCTAAGAACAAGCGAGAGAATTCTAGGCATGTAAATTTCAGAAAGCAACCAGAAAGGGAGACAGAGAAATCAGTTGAAAAACAAATTTGATAGATAAAATAAACCTTTCATGTCTTGTCCTCAGCAGCCAATTGAAAACATTTTGCACATATCAGAAACATAAACATATAAAGTTACAGAACACAAGTCTCTTCAGTACATTATCAAACGGACAGAAAAATAATAGGCAGAGAAGACCGACATACCCAAGACTCTGCTTTTGACAATGGTGGTTCCCCTGTTCCAGTAGGAGTAAAATCATCTAACTCAGGTAGCCTTAGGGGCAGGTCAGTTTCTAGAAGTGGAACGCTCTCACCAGTGTCATCAAAGAAAACAACAGGAATAGGTTCCCCCCAATATCGTTGCCGAGCAAAAAGCCAGTCCCTCAATTTGTAGTTAACCTAAACAAGGATGAGTATGCCCAGTAAAGATCATATCCTGTCTATGCATGCTAGTAATGACCAAACCCAAGAATAATAAACATAAGTCCACTGAGAACCACCTTTTTCTTTCCTTTTCCAGTTTTCTCAGCCCATTCAATTACTTTGGAAGCAGCTCCTTTGCTGTGCAAGCCATTGATATCAAGTCCATATGTTGAACTTGAAGAGTTTATAACCATGCCTTCGCCTGAAAAAGCTTTTCCAGAATCACCGAGTTTTTTATCTTCTGGTGTCACAACCCAACGAATGGAGATGTCATATTTTGAAGCAAACTCATAGTCACGAGTATCATGTGCAGGCACTGCCATAATTGCCCCTGTTCCATAACTGCATCACAACAAAATCACATCTCACCCTTGTAGAGGAGAGAAATTCTCCAAATGTTCAAGATAAAGATTTGTAAATTAAAAAAGCAAAAACAACCTAGGAAAACACACCTTCCCAATACGTAATCCGCCACCCATATCGGGATTGCTTCCCCATTAACTGGATTTTTTGCATAGCAGCCACTAAAGACCCCAGTTTTTTCCTTCTGAAGCTCAGTCCTCTCAAGATCACTCTTTCTTGAGGCAATATCTATGTACTCTTCCACCTGTGTTTAGTGAGGCCTTCCAATTACCCACGAAAAAAGAGAGCGAGAGAGAGAGAGAACAACAAATTGGGCAAAGAAATAAATGAACTTACATTTTTTATCTGGTCTGGCGTCATTATTGATGGCAACAAGGGATGCTCTGGTGCCATGACTAAGTAGCTGCAGGCAAAAACCAATTAAAAATAGTCATATATTCATAATGCAGAGAGTGTCTTTCAAAAGATTACATGTGCAATTACACTAAATGCATTAAGTTTATTAAATTACAAGATAGGAAGAAAGGTTGTGATTTATTACGTTGCTCCAAATATGGTGTCTGGCCTTGTAGTATAAATTTCAATCTTTATGTCTCTTTCCTGTCCCTCACTGCTAAGAACAGGAAATTCCATCTCAGCCCCTTCTGACCTCCCAATCCAGTTCCTTTGCATGTCTTTTACACTTTCAGGCCAGTCAAGGTCATCTAAGTCTTCGAGAAGACGATCAGCATACGCAGTAATCCTTAGCATCCATTGCCGCATTGGCTGCTTGGTAATAAACAATGACACTGTAAAATTATAAAACCATCCAAAATTCGGAATTAAACTATGGAAGTTTCGTGACTTTGGTGGCTTATAGAATGGTATTCATAAAAGGCAACACATACCTTTCTTATGACTGGATGACCCCCACGCTCACTCACACCATCCACCACCTCCTCATTTGCTAACACAGTGCCAAGAGCAGGACACCAATTGACAGGCACTTCAGCCTGAAAACATAAGTGGACTTGTATTATTTTTCCTTCTGTACAAGGAATTGGCAAAGCACCTCTGCAAGTTAGATAGTATGTATACCTGATATGCCAATCCCCTCTTTAACAGCTGAAGAAAGATCCATTGTGTCCATTTATAATAGTCTGGTTGTATCGTAGAAATCTCTCGATTCCAGTCATAAGAGAAGCCTAATGATTTAAGCTACAAAGCAAACGTGAAATGTTAGTTCAAAGAAAACAAATGACACCATCAACCAAAAACTAAGATAGCAACATCCGATATATATCTTATCAGTGATTCACCACATGCGTCAATTGACTTGAAAGAATGTTTTGCATCCATCACAAAACAATAACAAAAGGAATCTTTTCTGTTTATAAAAAGATTAAAAAGAAAAGAGCATTTGACAACCTGGGTTCGGAAGCGGTTAATGTTCCTCTCGGTTGTGATCTTTGGGTGGGTTCCGGTCTGCAAGACACAAATGCCAAGCACCAGATAAATGCCCATACCCACTACAACAATTCAAACTACCGTAAACCATGTCATGGGACTAAAAGAGAAGGACCTCAATAGCATATTGCTCCGCAGGCAACCCAAAAGCATCCCATCCCATGGGATGCAAAACATTGTAACCCTGCATACGTTTGAACCTAGCAAGAATGTCGGTGGCTGTATATCCTAGTGGATGACCAACATGTAACCCAGCTCCACTGCAACAATTGACCCAAATGAGCAAACAAACAACTGTTAACATCCCACAAAACAAAGATTAACCAGTTTTAGCACACATAGGCATGCCCAATCATAGACACGTATAATGCAACTAACCCAAGTTTCATAATACCCCAAACACTCAAGTGAAAATTTAGACATTCTTTTCAAGTAGTCCTAAAAGAGGAAAAAAAGTTCATCTTTTCTGCAATAAACATCTGTGTCCTCGTCTTTGCTACAATTTTAACAGCTTGCAACAATTGACTGACCCAAATGAACAAACACAAAACTTTTTAAGAGCTCACAAAACCCAGATAAACAAGTTTTATCGCACATACAGCCATGACCAATCATAGACACACATATAATGCAAGTCAACCCAAGTTTCATAATAACCCCAACATTCAAAAGCAGAACTCACAAATTCTTTTAAGGTGGTTATAATAAAACTGTTCTTAAAAATAATCATTTTTTCCAACAGCTTGCACAGAAAATTAAACATAATAGAGTAGAGAAATGGAGAAACCTGGGATAAGGAAACATATCAAGGACATAAAATTTGGGTTTGGAAGTATCGACATCACCGGGAGTTCGAAAAGTGAAATTATCGTCCCAAAATCGCTGCCATTTGGGCTCTATTTCATGGAAAGGGTAAGCCCTTCTAACCCCCAATTGCTGCTGCTGCTTCTGCTCTTCTTCGATCCCCGCTTCCTTAGCCACTGAGCATCTAATCACTCCTCTAGAACTACCACAGACTCCGAAATCAAAGGTTTTATTGCATAATCTAAGAAATAATTTGCTTTTTACAACGTTGTTGGTCGTGGTCTTGGAGAATTTCCGAGGAGGGTGAAGTGAGCCCGTGCGAATCGGAGATGGCGAAAGCGCTTGCATATGGAGACGTAAATGCAAATGCTGTGAATTCATCTTTGCATCTCACGAAGAAGAAGAAGAAGAAGAAGAAGAAGTGTATGAAGATGTTTGAGTAACAGCTGGGCCTAGTGGACGAGAATGTGAGATGATCTATCTGGTTGGCGCTTAAATTTGTTATCTTGTCGTTTTCTGATATGTTGTCGTTTAAGTGTATCGTTTCTGATATATATTTTTTCTTTTTTTTTATTCCTTTTGTCATGTTTTGTTGTAAGGATATTGTGGATAAATTGCGTGCATGTTAAAAAGGGAAAAAAAAAACGATGTCGTTTGTTGAGGTTGTCGTCTCTTAAAGAATGATAATAATGAAATGTACTAATACCAATATCAGCTGTATGCTTGAATCCCTTTTTTAAATATCGTCGTTTTCAACTTTTCATGGATTCATAGTTCTTGTTAGCTTGTCATATATTTCGATGTTGTCGTTTTCGTTAAAAAGTTTTTTCTTTTTATAATGTCCTCTTGGCTGGCTGGCTCCATTATTTTTTATTTCTTCTTGACAACTCAAAGCTAGAAGCTGATCACGATCAACACCCATTTATGCGATGTCTGAATGAAAAGGAACTCTACTGAAATCATGTTTTAATCTTTCGCGGCACAAGTTCAAGTCGAAATGGAATAAAGTATTTTCAACTCAAGATTTGCATTAAAAGAGAATTTATTTAGGCATTTACAATGAGAGCAATTCCAAGGAGCAAACCAGTGTTAATTATGGCTAAAATTAGTGAAAGAAATTGTTAATAAATAGGCTTCAACTACAGAAGCGGCCATACACAACGTCTTTTGTTCTCAAGAAATCATGCATTGTGCAGGATTTTCCCACTATTTTCCTGAAGTCTTGCAAAGACATTTTCAAGTTTGTAGAGCTTCGGAAATGGATCCTGCAAGGCTTAAAACTTCGAAAGGAGCTCTGTTTGCGATGGCTTTGACTGTAAGCGGACAAGAATCTGTGATCCAGAAGTAGGTAAATGCCTTCTCCAAGCCTGAAAATAGAATCAAATAGCAATAAGATCACAAAAACTATGAGGGGAGAGGTGATACTACTAAAATACTTAAAAAGTTGCCATCCTCAGTAGTTACCATCTTTGTGTGTGAACTGCTCCCATGAACGCTTAGGGAAGACGCCGTGAGTCACGTAGGCACTAACCTTGGCCGCACCATGAGCCACCAATACTTTCTGGAAGAAAAGCAAAACCCAAGTTCTAAGTTTTAAACAAGTGTATGCAAGGAACCACTTGAGATATTTTTGCGTTATGATTTACAGTTTATGACAAGAATCCCATATTTAAAAAAAAAAAAAAAAAAAAAAAAAAAAAAAAAAAAAAAGAAAGAAAGAAAAAAGAGGTTAAACTTTTTCGCCATATATGAAAAGCTTGAAAGCTGATAATTCAAAAGAATGTCCACTAAAGAATTACCCGGCACTCAATAAGTGTCCCTCCTGATTGGACCAAATCATCAACAATCACGACATGGTAACCAGCGGGATTACCCTCCTTGATCCGAACTATCCTCTTATCCCCTTCATGAACCTTATTGCATACCACCTGCCATATGATAAAATTTGACAAACTAGATAAAGAAGTTACGGAACTATTCATTAGTATTGGCATAGTAAAATAATCCAACTGCTTGTGAAATCCAGAGCTAACCGTGGGAAAATGATCCAACTGCTTGTGAAATCTTTTCCAAGCACCATCATCGGGAAAGGCAACAACTATCTGGTGGAGGACAACAATCAGTGACAAATCATTTACCATATACCAGTGACAAACCATTTATCATATAAAGTTTAGAGATTATGTTAGAGGTAGAGGAGTGTACGACGTACCTTGTCGGAATCAGGAAGCTTGTGCAGGCGTTGCTTTAAGAGAGGAATGCCTGTCTCAAACAAAGGCAAAACATGGTCCCCAAAGTAAAACCTTTCCTGGGTTATAAGAAAATATGACTACATGAGCATTTACCAAAAGAAATAAGTAGGCTCAGGATGGAAATATAGAGTCAGTAATAAAGACAATAGCCATTTGACAATCTCATAGACACTCCTAACCTCATAGCAATAAAGACAATAGCCATGCATCAAAATATGAAACGACAAGTAATCGCACCACTCAGAGGTATTGGTGTGTGCTAATGATTACTGCTAACTTTTTACTTGTTTCATGCAGAAAAATGTATATGACTTTCTGTTCATCAATCAGGTCTGTTTGGAAAGAGCGTCGGAACAAATATCATAACACCTTTTCATAAACTAATTCGTGATTTTACACAAAGGAAACTATAATTTGGATTATCAGAATCGGTTTAAAAGATGAAAAGGGTTTAGAAATAGCCTAGAATTACATTTGTTAACCAATCTACCAAACCGAGTGGGAGTTATAAGTTACTCTGATTCCTGAGAGATGGATGAATTAATAAAAGGGACTTCTAATGACAATAATGCTTCACACCCCACGAGAGAAAAGAAACTAAAGAAACAAAAAATGCTACATGTGTTGCTATTGGTGTCAGCACACGTACATACCTTCTAAGCAGCATCACTGAATACATATATTAAAATTTCAAGGAAAACTAACCTGAATTATTTTTATCCTAACAGAAATAAAAAAAAGATAATAAATTATTTATGACAAACAATTGAAGCAAACATGACAATTACTGGAGAAAGCCTAAGACAAACCTGCAAAGCATGTATATCGTATACGACCAAACTAGTTGGGCCTCCTCTTGAAATTGGAATATTTGTCAACATCCTGGCAAGGGTAAAAGCAGTAGCTACATCCCCTTCTTCTTCCATACGCTCAAAAGAACCAGTTGGAAAAAAAGGCAATACCAAAGTGAAGGAGGCAACAAAAAGTCGCGTCAGTGCATATATAACGGAAAGCTGTTCGAAGATAACTCCTTGGGAGCTGAAGGATGCCAGAAAGGCAACATGTTGACCTCTGAGTTCTTGTGCATTGTTTATAAAAATGTTGGGAAACCCATCATCAAAACTCCTGTGTATAAACAAAACCAATCAGTGATACAAATAATATTAAGATAAAGCATGCCCTTCTATAGTTTAATTTTCTAGCAGATGTTAGAAAAGAAAAGACCAGCAAAGAAAACTATAAGTTTTGAGGTTAGCCAAACTCTATAAGTAAATGGACATTAAACTCGATGCCTTCAAATGAAGTTCATTCAAGAGTGGAAAACCATATCGTAAGTTCATAGATACTTCAATCCCATGCCTAATCAAAATTATGATCAAAAGATCACAATAATTCCATCGTTGAATGTGTGCAGTCTAGTTATTTCACAACCACAGAATTAGCACGCGGATTGACCTTCTTTATCATAGAGAAAAGACAAAGAGTCTATGAGGTATGAGGTTTGTGATTATCTTGTAATCTTCTTCTTTATCATATTGAAATTCTACAGAGGCCAAAAGTGAACATAGCAGCTCACGTTCAGGGTTAACCACTATAAGTCTTGTATTTTTTAGAGTGAAAGTATTCTCATTTATGTTATTTAGTCACACCAATTAAGAGACTAGAAGCCATACACAAAGAGGACAAAACACTGGTGTGGATGAATCTGGTTATAGACTAATTGTATGACTTGCTGAAACACCAGAACACCTCTCATTCTCATTATAAGTATTTTATGCACTCTAACAAACAAACCATCACAATCTAAATTGTAAGTAAAAGACAACGGCCCAATAAAAATTCCACCAGATTATACTATGCAACCAAATTTGAGCGCTTCATTTTCACTCACAAACTTATCATCCTCCACCAATCAAATTATTGGAACTTCCAAACACTATAAAAAAAATATATATATCCTCTATATGAGTGAGGTGAGAAGAAAAGTGCCCGTCTATAATTCATAACCAAAAAGATAAATAAAGCACATTAACAAACAGAACGTGAGCAGTAAACATATGGGTATGTGTCGTTTGTGTTTATAGAGAGAGAGAGAGAGAGAGAGAGAGAGAGAGGACCTCCATTTGATGGTCTGAAGAGTGATGAAGTCGGACTGAGAAGCAACTTTCTGGGCAAGGTCTTCACACTCGGAACAGTAGAAGAGGTAAACCCGCTTCTTCTGAGACTTTTCCATTGCCGTTAAGGAGAAGAACCAAAAACCAGTCGCAGACCGAGATTTTGGAAGGAATCGTGTACACTTGTATAGTAGTTTAATACGCCCTCGAATTTTTGAAAGTATTCATTTTCATCCCATCATTTACAGAAAACGTTTCAACAAGGTCCTTTCCTCCGTTTCCATTATTACTCTGATGAAAATACTGACGTGGCATTAAGCTATGAATGAGTAAAATTAACCAGGTGGCGTAGTTGCGAAGGTCATCCTACTCGGACCTTTGTAACGTTTTGTTTATAAATTTAGAATCATAATTTATAATTTTAATTTTTAAAATTTAAATTTTTAAAAAATATATATATTATAAAAAATTAAAAATTATAATTTAAAATTAAAGACAAATTTTTAAAATAAATATCTCATGTATGATCTCTTTCTAGCCACACAATAATAAAGAACAAAAATATGTCCTTCCCCGTGTGATTGTCGGCCCCACCCAGCACGCACAAAAACATAAACAAAAACCCGCCCTCGTCCCTCCTAATGACCCTAGCTCTCAGCCTCCAACGAACCCAAAAATCGAGATCAACGAAGAAATATAAGATATAGAAGTCTCATAGAGAATAAAGCGAAAAGGATTGACAAATTAAGAGTATTTCAATACAATATTATAATTAATGTGTCAATTATAATTTTAATATTTGAGTATAAAAAATACTTTTTAATACAGTGTTATTTATCAATTTGTTGTGACAAAATTTTCATATTCTATATTTTATGATAAATTTCCCACCAAATATAACATATGAAAAATTTAATATTTAATTAGTATTTGTTGAAATGTTTACCTTTTCACGTGATTAATGTAACTTTTATATTTTTTAATTATTTTAAACATAAAAATTTATTTTTACAACTTTCAAAACTCAATAATTAGAAGAAAAATAAATTTAACATTTCAAATAGTATTATGTATTGGAATAAAAATAAAAATAACATTCGATGTCACACTTTTTTATTGTAAATACACAATTAGCATCAACATTTATATTAAAGATGGTCTAATATCTCAACGTCACTCAACCTCTTCTAAAAAAGCTAATGTCAATATATATATGTCAACCTAATATTTTGTTAAGTATGATGTATCAACCTAAATACCTCATCTTTCATCAAGATTTAGAATCTCATATTGTTCACGGCGTCAGCTTAGCTTTATGCATAGAGGCACAAACTCGGTAACGGTATGAAGCAACGATCACAATGTACAAACCCAAGGGCTAAGGGTGAGGGCTGTAAGAATTTGGGCTGAACCCGACTAACCTGCCCGATCTGAACCAATCATACCCGAAATTTGTGGATTTTTTTTTCTCGGAGAATAGGCCCAACCCGCACATTACGGGTTGGGCCGCGGGGCGGGCTTCCTTTGGCTCGATACTCCCCGACCTAGCTGATGAGATCAATAAGAAAAAAACCCCGATGTCCTAACTCTTAGTCTGATATCTCACTCTCACCTCTCTCTTTGTGCTGCTCAGCAGCTCCTAGTTCTCAGCCTCTCTCTCTCAGTCTCTCTCACTTCTCAGTCTCTCTCTCTACTAGCCTCCCTCTCCTTCGACCCTTGCAGCTTCCTCTTTGCCAATGAATGAATCTCTTCACGTTACAGTGAGAGATGGTTTTGCAGAGTTTAGAGAGAGAAGTCGAGGCTAGGTCTAGTTGATCGGGTGTTATTCTTGTTGGTTATAATGTTGTGCACCTCACAGCTAAGCTCCTCATCGCACAAGAAACTGCAAAAACACCTCTCATGCAAGAATATCGTCCTTGTTCTATTAATCTCTCCATCATCATCAACCTAGCTTTTTTATTTAATAAAAAATAGTGGGTGTAAGAATGGAAAATGGCACTCAATGCTCAACGCCACAATTGAGGTTTTAGGCAAGAGTCGGTAAATAACATTACCAACAGAGTTGGTACCTTCCTCGTTCAAAGACATCATAAATATGCCGACAATTCCCATAATCTTGTTTTCTTTCCAACATGTTGCCAGGGGCACAGTCAAACGTCCAGGGCCAACCCGCCCAGCCCGCAAAACTGAGCCTACCTGAGGTAATCCGAAAGGTTACGGGTTTGTGAGCCAAACACAGTGTTGTGGCACAAATTTTTCTCACCCCGAATGTGGCGGCTCGGCCCAAATTTTAGGCCCAACCCAAGCCTACCCGACCTACTTACACCCCTACTAAGGGTGACCAAGAGAGTGACCGAGAGTATAAGTAGGAGTGAGATAAATATAGGACCCGTTCACTTCGCTGATTCGAGTTTGTAATTCGAGTTAATATGTGATTTTTGTGAGAGCTTTTTACTGTAGTAAAAAAGTTAGATGTGACTGTTTCTGAAAACTTTTTACTGTAACAAAACTTAAATTCTAAACTCAAATCGGTAAAATAAACGGAACCATAATCAATTAATCGAATAATACTTGGTTTTTTTTCGCGCCATTGTATGAGGAGGACTGCCATAAGACTAGGGGCAAGATGGCGCCATCTTTGTGCTGACATATGGCTCTTTCAACAACTAATTTTCAATTAATAAAAAACTCCGATAAATTGAGACCAATACACCTATGTAGGAGTGTACAAAAAAACCGTAAAACCGAAACCGACCGAAAATCGACCGCTCAAAACCGAAAATGACGGTGCCACGTGGAACCGAACACATTCGGTTCGGTTAACCGACCGACATCCTCAAAAGTCGGTTCGGTTTTGATTTTCTGTGTAGAGAGTCGGTTAAAACCGAACCGACCGAGATGGGATTTTTTTTTATATTTTTGTTTTGTTTTACTTATGACAATTTAAATGTTTTTAAACTTGTGTTAGTGCAATTATCAATTTTGATGTTGTGCTTGTATTCATTTATTGTGATTACGTGTTTGTAACTTCACATTGAAGGAAAATTTTACATTTTTTCGTACTTACGGGTTAAAAATGCTGGTAACCTGATGGTTAACTGAGGTCATCCTTCTGATTACCAAAACTGAAAACCGACCGAAACCGAACCGAAACTGGAATTCGGTTAACCGAACCGAAATTGATAGGTGCGGTTCGGTTTCGATTCTAACTTTTAAAAAACTGACATAGTCGGTTCAGCCAACGAACCGACCAAAACCGACAAAACCGAACCGACGAACACCCCTACACCTATGGCACAATAATCATAACCAACTATAGCAGACACAATAAAAACCCAAGGGAAATCATATCTTATATTGCATGCCAAAAATAAAAACAGAACAAAAACAACACCTGCAGAAAAAACATCGCCGTGATTTATATAAATATCTACCATTAAACAGAAACAAAGCGCAAACATTAAAAAAGTCAATGGAGCCAATCCAACTACTACAAATAGAAAGAGACCAATGAATACCCATTGGCCATGGCGTGACAATTGAGACTAACACACCGCCATTGTCCGCTGCCAACCTTGCCACGCGTCCCTCCCAAAGTTTCGCTGCATCATGAAGAACAAAATCCCCATCTTGCAAATCCACCTACACAGTCTAGAGAGATAGTTATGAATTTTTAAGACAGTTTAATTTGTTGATTTAAATTTTTAATTTGAGTTAAGATATGACTTTATATGAGAATTTTTTATTGTAATAAAAAAATTAAATTTGATTATTTTTAAAAAAAATTTATTATAATAAAATTTAAATTATAAACTCAAATAGATAAAATAAACGAAATTTTAATTATAAAATATTATTTTATGAAGGGCCCTACCTTAAACTCGCCCAAAAGACTCCATTATTTGTGCCTGTGGAACAAAATCTTGGATAAATCATGGACTGTTTTACATGATCGGCACGGTGCCTCTCGCTTTCTCCCCGTTCACCTTTCGACTTTCTTAAGCTTTAGAACACGTTCTATTGGTTTATGGGCTTACAAGTCAAATTCACCTGCTATTTTCAACCAAAGGAAAAAATAATCGAATATAGTCTTGCCTATTATTTCAAAATCTCTTTTCTACTTTTTTCATGAAAAAACCGTTTGTTATCTCAAAAATCCCTCATTTTCAAATTCAATCTCCACGCTATGACAAATTATCCCCACAATCCTTGATTATCTCCCTTGATTCTGGATAACATCCCAAAAAAGTCGGCGAAAGAGAGATTTAGGGTTTGTTCTTTTGGAGTTTAACTTAAGTATAATTCTTGAGTTGAATTTGAGTTATAACTTAAGTTGAACTTGTAACTTGAGTTTGTGTTTAGTTGTGTACATTTGAGTTATGGTTTGAGATAAGAATTTTTTTGAGTTTGTGTTTGAGTGAGTCAAAACTTAAATTTGTATTTAAATAGTATTTTAATAAAAAGTCAATGCTGATGAAAATTTTTAATAGGGTATATGGGTCGGATTTTATTCGTCTTTTCGTTGTCAACGCATAGGAAAAAAATCATCTCAATCAGAATTAAAACGAAAAAATTATAGCATTTTTAAGAATAGAAAAAATAATGTTCATTAATTTGAGTTCGAGTTTCTAAACTCGAGTTGAAGGGAAAACTTGAACTCAAGTTTTAGTCCTAAACTCGAGTTTAAACTCAAAAGAACATGAACTCGAATAAAGTTGTAACTTGTTAAAACTATTGTTGGCCCATCTCTCACAAGTTCGAGCTTTTTTTAAGTTCGAGCTTTTGAGATGCAGTGGTTTCCCAACAGTGTCTTAATATGGTATCAGAGCCAGAGGTCGTGTGTTCGATCCTCCGTGCACTCTTATTCCTCCCTTAAATCATCACGTGTGTGTCCTACACGTGAGGGGGAGTGTTAAAACTATTGTTGGCCCATCTCTCACAAGTTCGAGCTTTTTTTAAGTTCGAGCTTTTGAGATGCAGTGGTTTCCCAACAGTGTCTTAATATGGTATCAGAGCCAGAGGTCGTGTGTTCGATCCTCCGTGCACTCTTATTCCTCCCTTAAATCATCACGTGTGTGTCCTACACGTGAGGGGGAGTGTTAAAACTATTGTTGGCCCATCTCTCACAAGTTTGAGCTTTTGAGATGCAGTGGTTTCTCAACAGTGTCTTAATATGGTATCAAAGCCAGAGGTCGTGTGTTCGATCCTCTGTGCACTCTTATTCCTCCCTTAAATCATCACGTGTGTGTCCTACACGTGAGGGGGAGTGTTAAAACTATTGTTGGCCCATCTCTCACAAGTTCGAGCTTTTTTTAAGTTCGAGCTTTTGAGATGCAGTGGTTTCCCAACAGTGTCTTAATATAACTCGAGTTGCATTGTTTTTGAGTTTTTCACTCAAAAGAACAAGCCCTTAGACTCCGTTTATTTCATCGATTTGAGTTTAAAATTCGAGTTTTGTTTTAATAAAAAACTCTAAATAACAGTCACACTTAACTTTTTTACTATAATAAAAGGCACTCACATAAAATCACATATTAATTCGAATTAAAATTTTGAATCAACAAACTAAATGGGTCCTTAAATAGTGAAAGTGAATAATTATTATTATCTTAATAATACTTTTTTTTTCAAAAGATCATTAAAATTTCTCTAATAAGATTTAAAATAACTGAAAAGTTAATTATCAAATTATACAAGAATTATTTATTTTGCATAATTTTAATACAAATAAAAGTCTTAAAATAGAAACTTTTAAAATTATTATCTCATTATCTTCATGGCTTAAAGTAATTATTTATATAAATAATAAAAGAAAGGTTAATTTTGTAATTGTACATATATGTGCGTGTGTGTGTGAGAAACCCTAGTGTTGATAATAAAATCTTACTATAAAATGCATATTTTCTGCCTTGAGTGAGAAGAAAAGGCACTCATCATTCATCACCAAGAGCTTTTTTTTTTCTTTTTTTCTTTTTTTGTTCCATAAGCGCTTCATGTGAAGATGGCACAAGCATAAGATCTCTCTAGTTTTGGTTGTTATTGCGAGATCTGAAAAGGAAAGAGAGAGAAGCTATTGACAGGATAATCAATTTTGCAGGGAGATTTCTAGAGACAAAGCCACCACAGCAACAAATGGAGACTAGAGCCCGTCTGATCTACAACTTCTTGAAAAGAGTGTCTCATGGGTTATTGGAAAACGGTGATTTCATGGCTTCTTGGTTTTCTTGGTAAGGAGGTTGGAAGCAAACGTTTTCTTTTCTTTTCTTTTCTTTTTTTTTTTTTTTTTTTCCCATGTCAAAACCACAATCAATTTCTAATTTATGACCATTTAAACATATATTTAAGTCAGCGATTCTATTAAACATTACAAGAGCAAAACTCAAATTATGAGTTTAAAATTAAGTTTAATATGAGAATTTAAATCAGAATGGTCTTAATTTTAGTATTAAAATTATGATTTATAATTTAAATTTTAGGTCTAAACTATAATTTTAAAACTGGATTCAGAATCAAAATTAGATATTTAAACCATCTAAAATCAAGAAGAGATGTGGTTTTATTTTTTAAGTATTTCTGCTTTAAAATATCACATTAAAATTTAAATTTTAAATTAAAATCATTTAAATTAAATACTGATTTTTAAAAATTATTTTTTATTTTTTACAAACAAATAAAAATTTAAACTAAAATTATGATTTTAATTCTAAAATTCTCATACCAAACGTAACATAAATATATCATCTAAACAACACCTTATAAGCTTTAAAATAAAAGGTACAAAAAATCACGATAGTTTTTAGATTTATCATTTTTTATAAGTAGTACTATTTTTTCTTAAAATAACAATTATAATAGAAATTCAATTGAAATTAAGTGATGTTTACTACTAATGATGATGTTAAAACATTTTCTCTAACCACTATATAAAATTCCCCTATATAAGGTGGAGTAAATCAAGAAAATATTATTTATTTATCATTATTGATTTAATCAACATTTGTGTTAGTATATTAAAATTATCACATAATAGAATGAGACCCAATAATTTTACGTATTTATTCTAATGTTGCATATGTGGTTGAAAATTTGTTCAGTAAATATATAATTTGAAAAACACAAAAAATAGGAGTTATAATTATAATTTTTTTATTATTAAGCGAAGGTATATGTATAGTTTTTTTTTTTTTTTTTTTGAGTTGCGTACAGTTATATAATTTTTTTAATTTATTGTGGGCAACACTTTCACATAAAAGGATTTTCTACATGTTTTAGCATGGGATAGAAAAGTTTTAATAGAAAGGGTATTTGGTAGGCCGTCCTTTGAGTAGAATTAGTCTTCTAACCGTTAGATCTGGTCAAAATCAAATGAGATTACAAAAATATACAGAATAGACAGTTTTTGATACAAATCTGACAGCTGAAAACGACTGAAAAATAAAACTACCAGTAATTCTATTTATCTGGTCTTACAAGAGAAACTCTCATTTTAGTATAACTTAAAAGAGAAAAAAAAAGTAAAAACTTTCAGTAATCGTTCTCCTGTGCAATACTATTTTTGTGTTAAATTTTACGTTGTTGTAGTTACTACTTACGTTAAATTGTTAAACTTTGTCATATATTGACATTCTTATTTAATCATTACAATATTGTTGTTAATTTAAAATTTGAAGTTTACTTTTATAAGCATAATAGTTATGATAAAAGATGGATATAATTTGAAATAATGTTATGCATGTTCTATGATTTTATGTATATTTTTTTCACTTTTTAGCATCATATATAGAATTCACATTGACAATGGTCTAACAGTTATTACTATCTCTAATTAATTGCTATATATTCCATTATTCAAAAATAATTGTGTCTTTTAACACATAATCAACTCTATTAATAATATTACTATCTCTAATTAATTGCTATATAATCCATTATTAAAAAAACATTTGCGTTTTAACACTTCTATTTAACAACTCAAGCTCTTAACTTATGTTGTGTATGTGTGAAAAAAATACTGTAGTAAAAAAATTAAATTTAAATTTTTATAAAAGAAAACACTATAATAATAAAACTTAAATTGTGAAATAAATAAGACCATAATCTCCTCTATTTTAGGGAATATACTGTACTTTCATAGTTAAATATGAGTGTGAAAGGTCTTTATTATTCTTTGAATTTTTTAAAGAGAACACATATTCATCTCTATTGGAATAAATTCCCACTACTTTCATAAGGTGGGTGTCACTAAATGGGTAAGTAAGTGAGACATATTAAAGTCTTATTCATTTCACCGATTCGAGTTTTCAGTTCTAAATTTTTACAGTTAAAAGTTCTCAGAAAAATGTCATATCTAACTTTTTTTGCTACAGTTAAAAACTCTAAAAAAATATCATATCTCAGTCTAGGAAGCGAAAGAAGACCTAAGAATCCATCTTTTTTATGAGTGCCGAGGATTTATCCTCGCGTAAATGAGTACCATTTTTCTTTTGTAAAGGCATGAGAGTGGTGAAAGATGCCGGCCAAAATATTCAAGAATAAGTATGATAATGAGCACACCCTTTACGTGCGGGATGCTGAAGCATAACTTCTAACTTCTGCAAAAGAGGTGATTTCCAAGTTCCTGCTCAAATAACAAAATCATTGGCTGCATAATCTCCCTGTTGGTCTAGTTCGCAATACAAAATTGTCAAAGAGTTAAAATCATTATAAAACACATCTCGCAGCCCCGGAAAACTTGGGACATTATTAGAAGTCGAAGAGTAGATTGCCCCCACAAGTTTATTAAAACCTAGTTTGTGGATCCTAAAAAGGCCAAAATTTAGAACTATATCAAGTCTTCCAAATCTTTGAGGGCGTGATCCACAGCATAAATCGCCATCTTCTTTATCTGTTCAACCAATATCAAATGAATTACCAAACAGTACTACGAAGGAAAAACAATAGAGATTACAAAATGCTATTTATCATCATTTATGTTTGCAATAACCAGGTATGCATCACCGATGACAAAAGGTAAAAGAACAAAAGATAGAAGGTAGTTCTTTTACCTTTTGTCATGTCTTTACAGTTTAAAGTCGCCTGTGGTGATGCATCGCCAATAATAATGAATAGTAATGCTCATTATTGTTGCGTGGTGAATGTTAGAGAATTCAATAGTAAAAAAGATTTTACCTCTAATTTGTCTTCTCTGGCTCTATGGTTCTTGGGAAGTTGTCTGAACTCTTCTGTTAAACGGAGGCATTCATGGATATTTTCTGGAGAAACGAAGTCTACAGCAACTTTGGTACAAGACTGCAAGCAAGGGGAAATATGATCTACACATACTCTTTCAAAAACAAAGGCAAATCCAGGGAAAAATAAATAAATAATTAAAGCTAATAAAATGCGGACCTTAAGATTCCTAACTTGGTGGGGGCATCCGGCAGGAATAAATACAGCCTCTCCAAGTCTTTGCTCAAACGTCCATGGTTCAACCCCTGAAAATAAGAAAGAAGCAATAACTTATCTCTAACAATTAGGTTGTAATTTTCCAATTATAGTTCGAAGAAAAGGAATTACAATTTTACTTACCATATTCTTCCTTTAGCTTCTTCTTGTGCGCCGAAGATAAATAAAAGGATTGGTCATGGATTGGATGATCAACCTAGACAGCCAAAAGTATAAGAGAAATGCACGCACCTTTGAAATGTCTAGACTAAAGTTAAAAGTTGCTATAGTTACCCGTTGAACAGGAGAACAATAAGTATGCCTAAATTCTTTAGAGTGTTTTCTTAGATAGGCCTCTAACTTTGGGACATCTTCTCGCCGAAAGATGTCCCAAAGTGCACCGCCTGTTTCCTCTGATTCTTTAGAAAGGAAACCAGGAAGAAAATCCCCATCCGTCTCATCTTCTACTTTGTGGATTTCTGAATCATTTGTCTGTTCATCAAGATAGCTGCTAGTTCTTATCCCCTCTTTCTCATCTTGCGCCTTGTGTAATTTTTTCAATCTTGAAATTGAACGACGCTGCAAATTACTTAAACCTACTTCTGCTGTATGCGTCAAAATGTTCACCTATATCCGTACATTGATTTAAGAATCAGAACACGTTACAATATTCTTACAATTAATAGAAAGGGCAATGTAATAATATGTATATGGCTTCACCAGATACTTGAGACATACCGCATCTGACATATCACAATGAAGCTTAGTTACCGAGTCACCTCTTCCAAGTTCTTCTTGAGTCCCATAAGCAATATACGTTTTGGGGCCCAAGTCCGGCTTCAGGACACCTAGAGGCAACTTTACAGCAAGGTTAAGGATACCAATCCTAGGATCTGTGTACTCCTGAAATGGCAAGGCGCTGATAAATTCATCACAATGACGAGGCAGAAAATCGTCAAACTTATCTGAAGGGGGCCAGTCTTTTAATTTGAGCATCTCGGGCCATAAATTAACATATGTTCTCCCTTCAGAGTAACCTTCAAAGAACTGACGAGTGTTAATCTCAACCTGCACAGTTTCACAAAAATGAAACAACTTCAATATACTCTGTACAACCAAAACAAAAATGCATCATCAACCAGCCAAGAAGTCAATGGCCTTCTAATTAAAAACTGATTTTTTTGGCCAAAAAGTCCAATAATACAAGGATAACAGAACTAAACCTCACAACCAGCCAAGCAGTCAATGGCTTTCACTTCAAAAAATTTTGAGCCTGTCTCTGCCTCTGGATTTTCACTTAGTGCACGCCACATTACCATTGGCTCCCAGCTCAAGCCAGTTGCTTGTTCAAGAACGTTTCGGACTATAACTGGTTCACCATTTATCCAATGCTTCTGGAAGCTGGAAAGCCCTCCTGTTAGAATATCACTCGAGTCTGGAGAATAGAGGTAGTTATCATTCGTATTTTCTCTGGAAGCTGCTTTTCTCAATGGATCCGTTCTTGCAACATATTTACACCTAAAATCTGTTTGTTCGGTTTGATCATCACCCAGTAAACATCTAGCTTTCACTTCTAAATTTGAGATCCACTGACAAGGAAGAATGCGCTTTAGTTCCAATATACATTTATTGCACCCACCAATATCTTTCGGAGGGCACATGACACTCCCATCGTCATTTGCATTCCACTCAGTCGAAGGTTCTGTATCATACTCTGAGGTCTCTAAAGGACAGGATACCTGTGAAGAATCTCCTCCGTGCATGTAATCATAACCCCTGTTCTTATAGTGAAATTTCACTTCACCGCGGTCTGAAAGGCCTCCCTTGCGAATATCATGGCAACAACTGAGACAGAGTTCGTAAGAACACTGTGGGCAGCTTCTATGAAGATCAATAATTGAAGTTGCGCAATGGTTGCTGCTCCATCCATAAGATACAAAGGTTTCATCAATACAAGAAAAATTACTCGCAACAATTCCATCAAGTAAAGAAGAGATGGTTACCAATAAACTCGCTCATCACTATAGCATACAGCCTGTGGTATTTCAATTTCAGAGGATGAAATCCCTGGAAAAAAAAAAAAAGGTTTCATGATGGCTAAACTGATACCTATATGTATACATACACACATATGTAAAATTTTTTAAGAAAAAAAAACTATACCTTGAATATTAGCTTCAATCTCTACCTCTTTTGTTTGTTCTTCACAAATTTGTTTTAGATATGGGAGCAATGAGGAAATTAAGTACTTAAGATGCTGCAGCTTTTCACTGTCATCAATCTTCCTCTTTGATGTCTGAAGTTCAGAAGGAAAACAACATGACTTTGTCAGAATTAGAAAATATAGTTCTAAATTAATTCTAAGAGGGCTCGCAGCACATCATTTATTACAAGAGCAAACCTCTATAATGCCAGCTGAATGCAAGCATCTATTGCAGTTACAATTTTTGCGGCAAAAAGGGCAAAGTGCCTCAATTTCCTTCACTTTTATGTTAGGGTACCTATATATATACAAGAAAGGGAACCCAATTCAGTGGAACTTTACGAAACATCGAGAAAATAAATTACCCAAAAAGAGTAAGGAAAAAAATGAATTGTTTGCAGAACAAATACCATTGCTTCACACATTCGATGCAATATGATTTCTCTTTACACTTGATGCAAGAGAAAACACTTTCACTTGCCTCCATACACTGATGACACTTCAAATTATCTTCTGCTTTACTCTGTGTAACACCATAAATATAAATTCACTCTCACATGAACCAACCTCTTTCACTTAAAGAAGGAACATGTTAAAACTAATCACCATTCCAAATGTACAAGAGATGCACAAAAACAGATATTACCTCCACATCACTCACTGCGTCCTTACCGACGCAATTGACAGAAGAACTAGGAGAAGCTGGAGGAGGAGAAGTGCAACATGTAGTATCCCTCGACTCATAAATTTCAACAGCAACATCCTTTGGAGTTTCTTCAGTCACTATACCCACAGAATTTCTACTTCTACTTCGATTCTGTCTTAACTTGAACAGAAACAATAACTCCCGTTCTTCAAATTCATCTGCTAAAAACTCATCATCCAAATCAATCTCTCTCTTTGAGGCAATACAAGCCCTTCTCGAATTTCTTTTGCCACATCCTTTTCCAGATGACACTGTTGCTGCTCCAGAAAAATCAACATTCTTTTTGTCATCCCCTGTTATGGTTTTCTTATTTCTAGGTTGTGAAATTTCTGAAAACTTTCTCTTAGTTCCAACCATGGAAACATTTGAAGCTCCCTCTATATCACTCTTGGAAAACCGCTTTAACCGCCCTTGATCCGCAACCAAAATTTCCATTCCACTACAGAATCACATGAACAACAGAGAATCTCAGCCAAAGTTCAACACAAAACGACGGAATTCCATAGTAAATTCATATGCGAAATATTTGAACAAAACAACCAAGCAAAAGAATCAGATTCAACATGCAAATATAGTTGCACATTACTCGATCATGTCCCAAAATCAACAATTCCATGCAGATTATACAAACAAGCTATCAAATTCGTGGGCTGAAGAACAAATAAGAATTTCATTAGGGTTAGAGACAAATTCTCCATCCATCAAAAAAACACATTACCCGATCATGATCATGTCCCAAAATCAACAGTTACATGCAAATTATACAAACACGCTGTCAAATTTGATAGGCAAAAATCCGTGAGTCTGAAGGTGAAGAGCAGAATGAGAATCATTAGGGCTAGAGACAAATTCTCGATCCAGCGATAAAATCTCACAAAGCAAAACAAGAATCAAAAGAAAACAGCGAGAATTTTTCCAATAATCAAACGAACGAGATCGTCGAATAAGACTGACCTAATTAATCAAACCACCGAAAATCCAAACTAAAAAAAATTGATCTACGAAGAATTCTTGCGTCGAACCATCGTCGATGATTTGGTCTTCGCTTCGTTTACTTGAGATTGGGAATGGTAATGTCGAATTGGCGTTGATTCCAATGCCGTATGAGGAACGAATCCAGAAAGAAAAAGGAAAATGGGAAAATTTTCCGAATTGAGAGTGATAAAGACGTGACACTACTAATGGAAAAACAACTAATGTTTCCCTCTCTCTCACTCACTTTGTTTCTGTGTTTGTGATAATGTTAATTGAAGCTCAAGACTTTCTGGTTTTGCTTTTGTCGGGTCGTCTCGTTTTCTGGTTATTCGGGTCAACGTGATATATATATACACACACACACACACACACACACACGTAGATAGGGGTGTAAATTGGCCGAGTAGGGTAGGATTGAGTCGAAAAATTGAGCCTATCCGATCAGTGCGGGTTGAGAAAATTTTAAGCCGTAACACTCTCTTAAGTCTACAAACCCGCAACCTTTCGGGTTACTCGGGTTGGTGAAAACCAATTTTAATCTATGACTTCATCAATTTTAATCAATTTTTAGTCAATTAATCTGTGCTTGTTACAGAAGAAATTATTATCAAACATAACATGTTTTTCTTTCAAGAGAGGGTCTAAATGCAAGGTGAACAATTAAAACACTCACTTTGAAATCAAATACTTCCAATATAAATAAAGAATGTCCTAATTCAACAACTATGGCATACAAGCATTTTTTATACAAACCGTGAATCCAAAACATAAATAAGTTAACAGCTTAAAAGCATAAAGTCCATAAACTTATGAAAGTAAGAATTTAAAGTGTTAGATATTATTTTACCTACTTTGAACATGTTCGGCCGGGTAGGGTTACCTCGGGTTCATGTAACTCCACCCCGCGCCCTTACTCACGCAGTGCAAGTTAGGCATAATTAAAAGTGAAAATTAAATAAAAAATTAAAAACCCATAATTTTTTAATAGAATCGACTCGCCGGATTCATCAAGTTCAGAGTGATTTCTTACCGCCTTACATATAGATGTATAAGATATAGGTAATACACATACATGTGCGCGAATATAAATATAATATAATATTCCCGGAAAGTTTAAGAAAGGGGGAAAAAAGGGGGAAAAAAAGATGCGAAATCTTTAACCTGTGGGTTCCATAAATAGAATAAAATAATAAAAATAATTGATAAACTAAAATAAAATAAAAATTTTGAAACTGTGGGCCGTTCCGGTTATCTTTGACTGTTTCTAAAACCGTTGGAATTAAATTTTAAAATATATACAAACTAGTGTTCGTTTTTTAATTAAAATTTTATTCCATTTGATTTGAGAACAGATAAAATGTTAAAATCAAATTTGGAAAACAAATAAATTATACTTTAGTTGTATTCTTTCTTTGAATAAAAGAGGTACTAGCATAGAAATTGTGTGTGTCTATCCCGTAGTGTATAGATGCAAAAAAACAATGAAATTGTTATTATTATTTTAGGGGGAAAACAAGGAAATTAGTCGAATTTATTTAGGTTCGTTCAGTAAGCGAATTTAAGTTTTCAATTTGAGTTGAGATATAATTTTATATGAAAACTTTTCACTGTAGCATAAAAAATTAGATATGATTTTTTGTGAAAACTTTTAACTGTAGCAAAATTGTAATTGAAAACTCGAATTGGTGAAATAAACGAGGCCTTATAATATTTAGGATTGATAGCTCTGTTAGTTCTTCAGCTTTGACCATAATGATATTTCAATCTCTTCTCTAAATTTTTTAATTTAGCATTTCTAAATCGAAATGTATATCCTTAGAGAAAAATAGGAAATACCCCCCAAAGTAGTACCTCAAACAATTTCTAACCTCTAAATTAAAATAATAAAAATAGTTAAATTTAACATTGTTAAAATTTCAAAGTTACCTTCAATGGTCCATTGGTAAATATTAGATATGCTGGAGTTCTCCTATCACCGGCCGCCGACGAGTCTCCAGTTGGCCATAACCAAACAAGTTATGATTCATAACCTGATAGATTACACCAGTCACCGACGGGTGTCCGACCATAACCTGACAGATTACACCGGCCACCGGCGGGTCTCCGACCATAACCTGACAGGTTATGATCCATAATTTGACAGATTACACCGGCCACCAGCGGGTCTCCAACCGGCCACCGGCCATAATCTATCAAGTTATGATCAATAACCTGACAGATTACACCAGTGCCGACCATAGTCTATCAGATTATGATCCATAAACTGATAGATTATATTGGTCGTCAGTCTCCAACGCTAGCCATAGTCTATCAGATTATGACCCATAATCTGACAAATTACGCCGGCCTCCAGTTACCAACTCCGGTCATAGTCTGACAGGTTATGATCCATAAGCTACCAATTTATGCTTTATAACTTGACAAATTATGTTTCATAATCTATCAATTTATGTGATTATAATCCATAACTTGCTATTTTATGATCCATAAATTGTCAGATTATGTTCATAAACTGACATATTATGCTTCATGATCTCCTACATTATGTTATTTTTTTCAACAAATATCAGTAGATTTATAGCAACAATAATCAAATTGAAAATTTTCACCAATTCTCTACCAAAAAAACATCATATCACCATAAATTTAATTCACAAACTAAAAACAAAACTCCAATCTCATTGACAACGGCAAATGTGCTCGAATCTCCAAAATCAAAAGCTCTATTTTACAAAATCTTCCTACAAATAAAATAATAGACATAATTTTAGAATAAAAAGATTAATTTTGTTAATTATGTATTAAGTATTTTAATAATAATAAATCTCTAAACTAACCATAGTAATATTGTTTAAATTGTTGTATTAAGGAATAAATTGAACTAAAAAAAAAGTTAAGAGGTTGTTCGTATGAAGTTTAACTCAAAAAAAAAAAATTAAACTCAAATTATAATTTTATTTAAGTTCACGTTCTTTTATAAAACTTAAGTTTTAACTTGAATTTTAACTTAAATTTTAACTTGTGTTTAGAGTTAAAATCTGAGTTCAAGTTCTCTACTTCAACTCAAGTTCATAAACTCAAACTCAAGTTAATGAGCCATATTTTTATTATTATTAAAAACGCTATAACTTTTTTGTTTTAATTTCAATTGAGATGATTTTTTTTATGCGTTCACAACGAAAAGACGAATAAAACCTCACCCATATACCCTATTAAAATTTTTCATCACCATTGAGTTTTTATTAAAATACTATCTAAATACAAATTCAAGTTTTGACTCACTCAAACACAAACTCAAATAGATTTTCAATTCAAACCATAACTCAAAATGTGCACGTCTAAACACAAACTCAAATTTGAGTCTCAACTCAAACCATACTCAAATACCTTAACTCAAATCAAGATTTAAACTCAAGTCACTCTAACTCAAAAAATATAAACGAACAAGTCCTAAGATATTTGCCATTTAAATCACTCACACAACCCTATGAAGAAATTTTTTAGTCTAAATATGTCCTACTTCAAAAATGAAATTATCACATTCTGAACTAAATATTCTTATTGCAAAATCTGAACGCAATGAACAAAGTTGATTCGAGTTTTTAATTTGAGTTGAGATGTGACTTTATGTGAGAATTTTTTATTGTAATAAAAAAGTTAGATATTACTGTTTTTTAGAGTTTTTTACTGTAATAAAACTCAAATCGGTAAAATAAACGGAATCTAAATAAACACATTTAATAGGAAAAAAAACCATCATTCCGTAGAATGATAAAAAGATGAACAAATCAAGCACCATGAAGAAACAAACCAAAATCTTTTTACGAACTAATCGCAACTAAAAATCACTTAGTGGATGTTTGGTTCATAAATTCAGAATTATAATTCAAAATTATTTTCATTTAATGTGTGTTTTTTTTTAAAAAAAAATACTATATAAACTATAAATCATAATTTAAAATCAAAGACGAATACAGAAAATAATCATTTCGTTAGTTTTAAAATGTTTCCGATAAAGAATGAGGAGGCAATATCCATTTACTCAAGTGCAAAAGCATTTATGTTGTTACAGTAGTCAAGTAAAATATATTTCATCACCAATCAAGCAAAACAATAAAAAAGGAAAAATAACTACATCTCATTCTAATTTCAAGAATGACAAGAAAAGTCGATAAAGAACATGCAAATGCTACAGAACTGAAAATTTTGAACGAAGGAAAAAAAAAACTCGTATATTTTCTATAAGAGCAAATGAAAAGAATGACCTGCCTGAGAACATCGATGTGGAGAACTAAATGGAGAAAATTGATCCACAGTTTTGAGATCAAGATCCAAACAAAGACAAACACAAAATAAAGAAAAAAAAAAGAAAGAAAACAAAGCACGATATTTGAAAAACTAAAAGCAAAGAGAAAGAAGTAAAGGAGGGATTTACCAAAATCGAGGACGATGAAAAGGAGCAACGTCAACGAGAACCTCCCAGCCGTTCAGTTTGTGACAGCGAGTGAAAGAGAACTCTTACCGATATCATTCGATGTCCGACGGCGTGCGAAGAGAAGCCTCCCAACACCGTCCGATTCACGATGACGAGAGAAGAAGAACCTCTTAACACCGTGTGATTCGCGACAGAGAGCGAAAGAGAACGATCGCTGATAGATCTCACAATCTGCCATAGAAGAGTCGAGATTGGCGCGAGGAGACGAAGCGATCTGCGATCTCGCGATCTTGGTAATGTCGGCACCTTAAATCGACAGAGGAGAGAAAGCTAGAGAGAGAGAGAATGACGGGGACGGGAAAGAGAGAAAAGGAGAGGGAGACGAAGCACATGTGGAGAGAGAGAAAGAGGCGGTGGAAGAGAGGAGGCGAAGAGAAAGATCAGAGGAAAGAGGAAAGAGAGTAGAGAGAGAAGGGCAGTAAACATTAGAATTGTAATTGAGAGTATTATAGAGATTTAAGAGATATTTGGTTCATGGATTAGAATATAAAATTTAAATTATTTTTTATTTATGTATATTTTTTGTGAGAGAAAACACTATAACGAACCATGAATTATGATTTAAATTATAATTTAAATCCTTCAACCAAATATCCCCTTAAATTGTAATCAAAATATCACAAACCAGTCAAAAGGGGTATTTTATAATAGAAGGGTAAAAATCCTCATTTGTGTGATTTGAAAGTAAAATGTACGACTTTTTTCATATCCTTCAATTTCAAAAGATTCGTTTATTTAGATTTTTAATTTAAATTGCGATATAATTTTATATAAAAAATTTTATTATAATAAAAAAATTAAATATT